ACTTATGCACTGCTCTTATGGACCACTTGTATTTTAGATTATTGCTTCCGCACGTGTGAGCCCCCTATATCTATACTCTGATTGTGTGTGAATTTTGGAAGTTGGCCTTCGGTAATCACGGATTACTAGCCATCACGGCACCAAACTACTAGGGGCAGTTTGGGGTCGTGACAGATGATGTTTGTCAAACAATTGCCCAGTTTTTTTACACTAGTGCAATTCCTTTCAATTGTGTCAACAACCCCATATTTTCACTTATGGTTAAGAAAATTGGAGATTATGGAAAAGGCCTTGTGCCACCATCTTACCATGAAATTAGGGTGACATTTTTAAAAAAAGAAGTGCAAGAGACATTGCAATTGCTTGATGAGTTCAAGGAACAATGGAAGAAGACCGGGTGTACAATTATGTCCGATGGATGGTTGGATAGAAAGAGAAGATCAATTTGTAATCTTCTTGTCAATAGTCCTAATGGAACTATCTTTCTATCCTCATTGGATGCATCCGACGTTTCAAAAACCGGTGAAAAGGTTTTTGGGATATTGGATGAGATTGTTGAGAAGGTTGGAGTGGAGCATGTTGTGCAAGTGGTGACCGATAATGCTTCTAATTATAAGTTGGCGGGAGAAATGTTAATGGATAAGAGGAAGAGCTTGTTTTGGACACCTTGTGCCGCTTATTGCATAGATTTGATGTTAGAGGATTTTGAGAAGCAAATCTAACTTCATCGAGTTACAATTAAAAAGGGAAAAAGAATTATGGCATACATTTATTCAAGAACAAATCTTATTCATTGGATGAAGGAGTTCACAAAAGGTATTGAACTTATTAGGCCCACGGTAACACGATTTGCCACATCTTACTTGACCTTGAGGCGGCTTCATGAGCAAAAGGGTGCATTGTTCAAGTGAAGGAATAGTCGATTTGCAAGGTCTCAAAAGGGTAAAAAAATTGAAGATATTGTTTGAGATACTCGTATTTTTTGGAAGGGCGTTTCTATGTGCTTGAAGGCTGTGGTACCTCTCATTAAAGTACTTAGATTGGTGGATTTGGATGAGCATCCGGCGATGAGATTCATTTACGAGGCAATGGATCGTGCGAAAGAGGAAATTCAAAGCAATTTCAATAATGTTTTTACATGGTAAACTTTTAATTAGTTAATCTTATTTACTTTACTATTATATTTCTCTAAACTTTTTGTTTGTTCATTAATGCTCTTTATTTAATGGTGTTAGCTATGATCCTATGTGGACCATCATTGATAGAAGATGGGAATCCCAACTCCATCACCCATTGCATGCTGCAACATACTTCTTGAACCCTCAGTTTCATTACAGTCCTAATTTTTAGCCCGATGCAGAGGTTAAAATTGGGCTATACAAATGTCTTGAAAGAATGGTTCCTGATGTTAATGAGAGGGTGAAGATAGATTTGCAAATTGATGCATCCAAGAGTGCAAGAGGGCTCTTTGGCATACAAAATGCAGTCATGACTAGGAAAAAGAAATCTCCAGGTGTTTTTTTATTTTTACTATAAGTTGATTTGTATCATTTTTAATATCTTATTATTTGTTTTCATTTCATCAATTTTAAATTTATAACTAAACTTTCATGTAGCTGATTGGTGGGACTCTTTTGGTGATGAATACCCTGAGTTGAAAAGGTTTGCAATTAGGATATTTAAGTTTAACATGCAGTTCATCGGGGTGTGAGCGAAATTGGAGTGCTTTTGAGATGGTACATTCAAAGCGGAGGAATCGTTTGCACCAAAAGAGAATGAATGACTTGGTGTTTGTCATGTACAATTTGAAATTGAGACAACGACACATGAATAGACAAACAATCGTGAATCCATTATGTTTGGATGATATCCCATCAGATGATGAATGGATAATAGAGAGAGAGACTTCGACTCTTCCAAGAGAAGGAAATTGGTTGAGTGTGCTTGATAGGAATGCTCGACATGGATGTGATTCGAATGAAGACGAAGTGGAGGCCCTTGCAAGGAATTTAGAAGAAGCTTGTAAGTTTATGTACACATCTTTTAGTTTTAATTAGAAATTATAACTTTAATTTTACTTTTAATTTTTTTGTTTACTCTAACTTAGGTCGTGATCATATTGGTAAAGAACATGATGAAGTTCATGAAGTAAGTGATGATGATGCTATAGATCAAAACATGGATGCTCGAAGGGATTTTGATCATGACTTTGAAGATGCTACTATTGGTGAAGACATTGAGGACTTGGATGGCACCGGGGGTGGTGATGGTGATGATGACGTGGCAATGATTAATGCTGATTGTGGCAATAATGATGATAATTTCGGCGACAATGATGGCTTATTGTAGTTTTTATTTCTTCTTCCTTTATTTAGTTTGTTTTGTTTTCATTAAGAAACAATGACAATGGTGTGCAAGTGTTAGTATTTGGTTTTATTATGTTTTTGACTTCTTTTTTTGAAAAAAAAATGTTTGAATGCTACATTGAATTGTTATATTTCTTTTTTGGGGGCTTATTCTATATATATTTTGATAGTATTATTTAGTCATATAAAAATTATTGCATTTTTTTATCATTTTAGTAGGATCTTACAATCCTCGATCCGATCCTACAATCCGATCCGACAAACCCCTAAAACGATCCTGTGTAGGATCCCGATCTTAACAACCTTGGCTCCAGGGTTTTGATATATTTTGTATAGATATGCAACTATAAAAAGCCAAGCTTACTAATATCGAGTAAGTACTTTAAGCTTGGCTTGTTTTCCCTAGAATTTGAGGTTGTATTGAAAAGTGAAGTTCAACCTTTTCTTTCTTTGTTACAATTTGGGTGGACACTGTCACGAGCTGTATAGATATTCTTGCAACCATCGTTAAATCTGATGGAAAACCCAAGTTGATTAATATATTTAAGCTTGGGTTGCCTTCCCTAGAAATTGAGGTTTTGTTGAAAAGATAAGCTCAACCCTTTTCTTTCTTTGGTGCAATTTGGGTGGACATTATCACGAGTTGTACATCCAAACCTAATTAGTCTTGCAACCATTGTTAAACCTAATAGAAAATCGTAAGGGATAATTTCGGAGGTAGTTTGATTTTAATTTTCTGAATTCAGTTTTCTAAAAATTGAGTTTTTTATTTTTTCATGTTTTTTTTATTTTTAGTGAATATTTTTTTAATTTTAAGCAATTTTTTTTTTACTTAGATGTATCTAAATAGTAAATTATTTGTGAAAAAATATTTAAAAAAATTAATTAATATACAAAAATACAAAAAATGTACTATTTTTTTATATTTTTGGTATTTAGTGAATTTTTTTAAAGATTTTTTTAAAAAATATTATCTTTTCTAAGTGTATTTATGTTAGGTGTGTCTAAAAATTAAAAAAAAAATCTTAAATATTAAAAAAATTCAGTGAAAACAAATAAAAAAAAGGAAAACGAAAAAGTAGAATTTTTTGAAAAGTGAATTTTGAAAACTAGAAACAAACAGAGTGAATGCTTTTTTTTTTTTTTTTTTTTTTTTTTTTTTTAACTATTGTTTTGAGCTCAGCTTTCTAACCCAAATGAGCTAAACATTTAGGCTTGAGATGGCGGATATAAAAAAAAAGGGTGGCCCTTCACATAAGGCTCTCGCAAAAGTGTTACCCCCATATCTAGGGAGATTGTTCTCTTAACTTGAACTTGTGTCTTTAGAGATGCAAATAGTAAGCCTTACGATGGGCCAAGATGCCATCTCTGAGGAAGTTATTAATGAAAAATCTTAAACGTCTCAACCTTATCCTCGATCTTGATTGGCAAGGCTTAAGAGAAAATTAGGAGAATTGAGATAATGTATTGATAGTTTAAGCTTGCCTTGCTGAACAAACGGTTCAATTTTATTATCTATTTAGAAAGTCTCTCCTGCTTTGTTCCTCTGAATGCCATTTGTGTGTATGGTTCTTTAACTTTTGCCTAGGAAATGATGTTGTACCTGTGTCAGTTTATACTTTGTTATGAGTTTATTGCGTTGAGATGGGTTTGGCTCAAGCCTTTCTGCCACAATGGTAGTTTAAGGATTTGGACTTGAACTTGGCTTGATTTGATTCTCAACTCCTTTCATAGGTTTGATCCTTAATGAAGCTTCTTAATTTGAAGAATTCTAGATTGTGAAATTCTCTTACCACTTACTAGATGAAATGCTTCACTTTTTTGGCCTAAAAAGTAATATGAAATTTAGTATAATTTTGTAAAACTTGTTCTTAGCTGCTACAACATTAATTAAAAACTGTTACCAACACTCAAATTGTGATAAACAAGGTCATAAATTGCTCATCAATTATTATTATTATTGCCATATTTTGTGCTTGAAGAAAATTCATGGCTCTAGTTTTGATTCCTATTATATGATATCATCAAACCACGACTGTTACATCAACTAATACTGTGATTTAAAACCATGAGCTGGGAATATTGGTGTATGTCTTACCTATATATGTATGACAATAATTTATAATTTCAAGATAAGTATACTTGTCATTGGTATACCATATTTTTAAGGGTAATACATTTTATAGTCTATTTCCTTAAAATAAAATGTGTGTGGCATCTACAAGCACATGTTATTCTAGGAATTAGTGTTGTGAAGTGTTGAACTATAATAAATAACCCATCTATACATAATAATATGTACAGAAATTGCTGATTTGATGAGCGATAAATAAGTTGAAAGTTGAAAAGTATTTTCCCCTCTCCCCTGCTTTTATTGGTTTAATTGCTTGCTTACTAGTGTTTTAATTGTAGGCACCTTCTTATTTTTTATTTTCCCTCTTTTGGGGGTGGGGGGAAGGAGCATTGTTAAGAAGATATGCCTTTTCATTTCAACTTTTAGTGACCACTCGAGCATGTGTAAGCTTCATGTTGTAATTGAATGTGATTAATTTTGCTCTCTACATGTTTGTGACCTTCAGTTTCAAACTTTACGAAGAAATTAGGCTTAACTCTTAATTTTTTTTTTTTTTGAAGGCTTGTGAATGGTGTTGTTGAGAAGACACGCAAGAAGACAGAGGTATCAATTGCAAAGGCAGCTGATGCAATCAATATTCCACGTATGCTGATTGATATTCGCCATGGTAAGGAACTCCGAATAATCATTGCGCTCAAATCAAAATATGTATTTTCTTTATCTAGTTATTAACATTTTATCTTGCTATTCTAACCCCTAAGTCTAGGGAGTTGGTTACTTTTGAACCCCACCACTTTCGAGTCACATTAGAGAGTTAACATTTTAAGGCTTATGGTGCATTCATTTTTGAAAAGTGTTTTCTATTCAAAAAAACAGATAAAACTGAAACTTACATTGATCAATCTCTCTATTTTCATCTAGTTATTAACATTTTATCTTGCTATTCTAACCCCTAAGTCTAGGGAGTTGGTTACTTTTGAACCCCACCGCTTTCAAGTCACATTAGAGAATTAACATTTTAAGGCTTAGGGTGCATTCATTTTTGAAAAGTGTTTTCTGTTCAAAAAAACAGATAAAACGGAAACTTACATTGATCAATCTCTCTATTTTCTCTACTGGGTTGGCAACTAGATACCACTAAACCAACATTCGGTCTATCATTGATGTATTCTACAAATTACGGTCATGTTTTTCCCTTAAATGACATATAAGTAAAAACCAACATTGGTCACTCTTTGATGTTTATTTGTAGAGGGTTCTCACCCTGATCTCCCTTCACTTCGGCTTGTTCGTCTTGCTTCAATTAAGGTATGTATATGTTCTCTTTCTGTCATATATAATCTAATCAAACTGTCCTCATTGGGAGGCTTGTTTGCCATGATAAGTTACAAGGTTTTTGAGCATGCAAAGTGGTTTGAGGCCTTGTGCTGAAAATTGCTCTAATCACATGTGGTTAGCTCTGTAGTTTGTGTTGCCTGATATATTAGAAATGATTCCAAACACTTGCCTTTGGTATTCTCGTACCAAAAGACGATTGGAATGGTCTTGTCCAAAATCTTGGGCTTTAAACAATTATAAGATATGCCATATCGGTCCAACATAACAATGTTACTGGGGTGAAGTGGGAGATTATCCACATGCTAAGTTTGTCAAAGGCTCACCCACTTGGTTAGCCTGTAAGAGGCGCCGTTTTTCTTTCTAAATTGTTTTTAGTCTTAAAAGAATAGATGGATGTAGTTTTTTTTATTGATATTCAGAGATGTTTATGACAAAGGTTCAAAAAGAAGAAAACATATAGCAGACAAGGATCAATTGGGGTGAAGTGGGAGATTATCCACATGTTAAGTTTGTCAATGGCTCACCCACTTGGTTAGCCTGTAAGAGGCACCGTTTTTCTTTCTAAATTGTTTTGAGTCTTAAAAGAATAGATGGATGTAGTTTTTTTTATTGATATTCAGAGATGATTATGACAAAGTTTCAAAAAGAATAAAACATATAGCAGACAAGGATCAATCTCGAAATTTTGGCACTTCAGATGTGTTTCAACTGAAACATCTTTAAATCAAAAGATTCTAGTGAATTGATATAGAAAATTAGATGATCCAGAACCAAAAAAAAAAAACTAAGAAATCAGCCCTTCCATTTTACATGTGATGCAATCCACTAAACGTGCAAGAAAAAGTAAAGCTAAAGAAGTGGCAATATTTGGAAATTGGCGTGAGCTACTATTTTTATTAGTCCTATTTTTGTTTGTTTTGGGTTTAATATGCTACTAGTTAGTTTAAAATTAATTTTTGCAAGTTGTTAAGGTTTGAGGCATTTTGGTAATTTGTAGAATTTATGTGGGTTGCCATGGGTTGTCTTATGGGTTAAGTTGTTTAATTGAATTTTTTTTTTTTTTTTTTAATTGATTTTTTTTTTTGGATTTTATTTGTATTGGATAAAGTTTAGAAGTAAGTTTTTAGTAGTTTGCTTTTTGGTAAATCCAATCCAATTGGAAAAGAAAGTCTCTAAATTCTATATAAAGTCATGTGACGCTTCTAGTTTAATGGAGTTGATATTTTAGAGAATTTTAGAGCTTTGAATCTTTCTAATGGATTGTGAGATGTGATATTTTCCTATGCTTTTAGGATAAATTGCCCTTTAAATTTTGAAGCAGAACTTTTCACTCCATCTTTATGTTTTGCACCAAATCCAAACTGAGGTAACTATATATTTTTCTGTGCTTCTAGGAAATTACTCTGTATGGAGCTCCATGACAATACAACTTGAACTGATTAATCCAACTGAATTGTTTAGTAATATTCATGTTGATTTGAGATTACATGACCTACAATACACACCTTTGTACCTTTCACATATCTTGCGAATGGTATCATTAAATTCTGAATTTCTTTACTGTTGTTGTTGTCTGAAAGTTAAATCACAAAGCATTATAATTCTGTGGGCAATTTCAGGCGCTAGATTGGTTGAAGTCATATTTTTGGGAGCCTCAAAAGAAGGCAATTCCATATCAAAGTGATGGCATTGGTAGCCTCCGAAAAGAAATCAAGTATAGACTCTGTGAATTGGCTTTTTGGTTGAAAATCAAGCACACTAAAGGTTCAAGTTCTTCATTAGCTAAGGGGAAACGTACGTATGGATTTTTCATTTTTTATTTATCAGTGTTTTTCTTTTTCCATGACTTGAAGGATTCCTTGTCTTTCTTCCCCTTTGTATCCTTTTTAATTTGTGGCATTCATTCAATATTTTGTGTTTGCTATAAACTAAATAGACATTATTATGCTTCTGCCATATGTTCAATAATTCTTTGATTGTTATATGTGTGTGTGATAAATTGATAGTATTCAGAAGCATTTTTCTGTTATATTATTTGAAGATTTCCTATAAGGTCTCTTTCTTTAAATGCTAATCAAGTCCTGGTTGGCCCAACTTAAATTCTAAAGTAAATTGGAAAATGAGCTATATACTATAAAATCTGAAAAATCTAGAAATTCCCTAGATGTTGATTTGTGATTATGTATCAATTTTAAGCAGTATATAACAATCCCAATCAAATAATCAAGACAAATTGGCACAACGATTTTACGTGAAAAAACCACAATTGGACACCTCCAATTATGATAAAAAAAACCACGGGCAACAGCCACAAAACAATCCACTAAGAAGATATAAAGGAATTACACAGGTATACTCTCAATTACCTAGCGAATCCACGCCCGAATTGAACCAACCTCTATGTGTCTCTTCCAACCCCGTCTTTACCTCGGAATTGTCTTGACGATGAGCCACTCCGGAATCCACCAAAGCTTCAGGCTCGAATTCTTCAGAATCCACCGAAGAACAACTCTCTCTTTTGTGTAGAATAAACAAATAATCCTTTGATGTATACTCTTTAAACCATGAGTTGAATACTCAATCAAAACATCAAAGAAAACTAGCAAAATATCTCCAGAGATAAACCTTAATATCCAAAATGAAGATCTGGAGAAGTTAACCTAGATTTGGACTGAAACACGTATTTATAAATCTGTCCCGCGATCTCCGCTCGAGCGTCAGATTGGCCGCTCGAGCGTACCTACGCTCGAGCACGGAAAGTTCTGCTCAAGCAGGAAAAAACAACATCCAGTATTTTTGCAGGCGAACTAAACTTTTGGAACTCAGCATTCTCCGCTCGAGCGGGGGAATGGACGCTCAAGCGGGGAGGCAACTTTGAATGCATTTTTGCATTTTGCTTCGGGGGCGCTGCCCCCCAACCCCGCCGTGGCGCTGCCTCGGACCTGCCAAGGGGCGCTGCCCCCTCGACCCCCGCGAGCTGACCGGGCAGCTCGATCCCCGTCATAATCAGCAAAGTGGCAATCTTGAAAGTATTAACATCACAAACTTCTCTTCAAGGCATAATTCGGGTTGGATTCCCATCTAACAACTCATATCCTCACTGAAATAAAAATGCGAATAAAATTACAATACAAAGGAGTTTTGTCAAACGGGATTACCAAGAATAAAACCTAACAATCTCCCCCTTTGGCAATGCCGTGACAAAACACACCTAACAAATAAAATCCTAATCACCCCAACCCATTACAGCCAACAAAAACAAACTTCTTTCTCAAGGTCATGATCTACAAAACAGTTATTAGTGCCACAATCTCCAAAACAACTATTAGTCCCACAAGAGTATATGAAAAAGCAATAAACATATGGCTAGATTATCTTGAAGCATTTGAAGCATGAGATGGAAAACATGAATAGATGCGACTTAGAGATTTTAAGAACATGTAGCATGGATAGATGGATAGATGAAAACTAAGACATATGCACCCAACTCATGACATGAATACATGAAATCCTAAGACACATGAAAAACAATATTCTCCCTCTTTTTGTAACGAATTGACAAATGAAGCTCAATCAACTAAAGCAAGATCAGAAACCACACAAGCAATGATAAGATTATGGAAATATCAGGGGCATGCAAGAAGGAAATAATAAAGACGCAGTGCAAAGCATCATGCCAACCAACTAAAGCCAATCTCCCTTTCACTCAAAATAACCACAAACACTGTATAGAAAATAATGAACCAGAAGAAACCGACAAAAATAATATGGTGGAGCAAGCATGAAATCTCAGGTTTATACCTTAGAACACACAAGATTATCCAAGAAACACAATTATTTGAAAACACAATGTGCACAGTCTATAGAAGATTCCTCATGAAAGAAAGTGATGCATTATGTGAAAAGCATAGATCCCATGAGAAAAGTGTGTGTGTGACTCTTGGAGTTCGACAAACACTAGATTCAATCCTAGTAGTGATCTGAAAGTTGGACCTCCGACAAGAGAATCTAAACACAACAAAAGAAAGTCAAACCACTAGAAATCAAGGGGTATTTGGTGAGTAAAAGCGGAGGCTCCCCCTCAATCAATGAATCTTTTTCTTTTTTTTTTTTTACACACTTTTTCTTTTCTTTCTTTTGCACATTTTTTTTTTCTTTTCTGTCTTGTGCACAGTTTTTTTTTTCTTTTCTTTTGCACACTCATTGGCGGCTGACATGCTCAAGAGTATGGAAACCGAACCAGAGAAGCATGGATATAATAAGGATGGCCTAGTTGGTGACTCTGAGGTAGCCTTTTCCTCATGGTTGGATTACAAAGAACAGAGGGGAAAGCCGTGGAGATGCAAAAAGATGGAAGGTGGTTAAGAGACTCAACATCACCCAAGATATGCTAGTATCGGTCAATTCCTCTAAAAAAACAAAAGATACCATGCCAGAAGTCCATAGAGAAAACTAATCACTAAGGCGGAAGACTCCAAAATTTGCTAATCCAAAAGTGTGTACAGAATGAGACATACTAATCACAAAACACACACTCCAAAATGAGTAATGACCACAAAAAGCACACACATATTAACATGTAATGGATATTCTTATCAATTCCAATATGCACCAAGGACTATACAAAAATTTCAAGTTTGCAAAACCATACTAAGAAAAAATTTTGGTTTTTTTTTTTTTTTTAAACAAAGCAAGTCAGAAAAACGAACATGCACACATTTTTTTCTCATTAAAAAAAACACACAGAAACCTAAAAACTAAAATAAATAAACAAATTAACACAAGTCAAGTTTTCTCACCCAAACCGCTTTAGTATAAACAAAGTTGTGAGCATTGCGGTTCTTGGGTGGTGTCTTGACGTTGTGGTTCCCTTTGCTTGCAATGGGAACCCGTCTCGACTTGGTTTCCAACTTCCTATTTTTAGGTCTAGGCAAATACACTCTCCTATGCAACTTATAACAATAAGGGCGAATATGACCATGCATACCACAATGATGACAAATAAAAACAAGGTATACCTTCTTTTCTTTTACCTTGCCAACTTTTGGAAGTTTGAGAAGTCCATTCTTATGTTGAATTTTTTGTTCTCCCTTTTCTTGAATTCTTGTATCATGCGATGTAGATGCACTCTGTTTTTGCTCTTTGTTATCACCAAAGCCAATGCCACTCTT